TTCACCATAAACCGCAATAAACCATAATCATAACCAAGAAAAATCGTATAATATTACAGTGCACCCTTCAACCATAAGAGGAATTACATAATATAATACTAGCACAAAATTATCCAAAAATTCGAATCCATAAGTATAGTTTAATTGGAATGGTTCTTTTTCAATTTTGAAAATTATTAGAGAAGAAAAAATTACTTTCACATTCCACAAAACCACGAAACCTAACCTAAATCACAAATCCAATTTCTAAACAAACGTAATACTTCAAAATATCATTGCAAATAATTATCTGAAAAAAAAAAAAAAAAAAAAAAAAAAAAAAATAAAACAATTCTCCTTCACCATAAATCGCAATAAACCATAATCATAACCAAGAAAAATTGTATAATATTACAATGAACCCTTCAACCATAAGAGGAATTACAAAATATAATACTAGCATAGAATGATCCCAAAATTCGCCTCCATAAGTATAGTTAAATTGGAATGGTTCTTTTCGAATTTGGAAAATTATTAGGAAAAGAAAGAATAGGATTCACCTACCATGAGTCACAAGCATAAGCTCGGAGAGTACCTGCGTGCCGATTAACTCATCGATCGCGATCAGAAATAATAGCCAGTTCGATAATCGAGTTAATTGAAAGTCACGACGACAGCGAGAGACATCGATCTCGCGAAGAGGATTCCGCTGCAAGCGAGGCCATTACGCAACCGGTGTCTATGAGAGATGGAACGCGCGTGGATCGGCGAGCAAGAGGCGAATCTATCGATGGCCGAGGGATCCGCGTGCAGCCGAGCCCGTATCGATCCCGAGAACCAGTTTAGGATCAGCCACGAAAAGAGAAAAGGAAGAAACGGGCAGCAGCCAGTCAAAACCAGCCGCGGAACCGAGCATTGTAAAAGTGGCCGTAAAAATAGCATGGAACATAATTTCGGGGTACGCAGGAATTCTTTCCGAGGAACCTGGAAGGATGGGATTTCGAGGAGACCGACAGTATACGTAGTTACAGTTTTCGTTCGGTTTTGTTGCGATTTTATGCCGCTTCGAGTGCTGCAAAAATGGTCATACGGACAAAAATTTCTTCTTAATAACAAGAAAAATAAAACCGATTTAATGGAGACTAGGGTGGTGTGTAATTGCATTTTTGGTTATGTTTTATTGCAATTTTATGTCGACTCGAGTGTTGCAAACGTGGTCATATGGGAAAAAATTCCTTTTTAATAGGAAAAAGAATGGAATTGATTGGAAGGAGTTTGAGATTGTAGGTAATTGCAGTTTTTCTTGGGAGTTGTTGCGATTTTATGACTATTCGAGTATTGCAAAAATGGTCATATGGCCAAAAGTTCCTTTTTAATAGCAAGAAAAATGAAACCAATTTGAAGGGAATGAGATTCTATGTAATTGCAATTTTTGATTGCGTTTTAATTCGATTTCATGCGGACTCGAGTGTTGTAAAAATGGTTATGGGTGCAAAAATTGTTATTTTCTAAGAAGATAAATGAGAGGAATTCAAAGGAGACCAATAGTGCACATAATTCCATTAATAAATGGATTTTATTGAGATATAATTTAGTTTCTTGTATTGTAACAATGGTCATATGGGCAAGAATTCCTTTTTAATAAGAAGAGGAATGGAACCAATTCAAAGAAGGCTGGAATTATATGTTAATTACATCCTTGGTTAGGTTTTGATACGATTTTATGTAGACTCAAGTGTTAAAGAAATGATCACATTGTCAAAAATGCCTTTTTAATAAAAAAAAGAAAAAAGAGTAGAACTGATCTAAAGATTGATAGTGTATTTATTTGCGATTTTTTGGATTCGGGTGTTACAAAAACAGTAATGGGTTCAAAAATTATTTTTTAATCAAAATAAAAATAGGCCCAGAATCATTCTCCTTAAATAAAAAAGGGTGGACACAGTTCGAGAAAGGTCGACACTATAAATAGTAGTTTTCTAAAAAATTAAATTTTTCAGAAATATAACACACACGTAAATATTACACGTAAAATTTCTCCATTTCCTAGGAATTACATCTCGAATTAATTTTCTCAGGAATATATCGCGAAAAGTGATTACAAAAATGGCACCCTGAATATAATTTCGAAATACAAACTCCAAAAACAAATGGCGTACTTGTACTTCGTACAACAATTACACTTCGAATCGGTCTTCCATGATCTATTACCATCGCAAAAACGACTATAAAAATACAGCGATAGCATTTTCGCGATACAACTTTAAAACTTCCTCCCAACTAAAATTAAAAATAAAAAAAATACAAGAAATGCCTATAAAAATACAACGATAGCATTTTCGTGATACGACTTCGAAACATCCTTCGAATCAAAGGCAAAAGTGAAAAAAAAATAATAAAAGAATCGTCTTCCTAAAAAGTAAACAGTATAATCGTCTCCATTCCTCTGGGTCGGATCTCCCCGAGATAAATGGTAGAAGTCGAAGCAGACGGAAGCGGGTTTCCCTCTCGTAACCCGCGCGCGAGATTTACGCGTGCAAATCGTAGTACAGGCTTATAATTTTCGCGATACAAGCGCGATAAGGCCGATCGTCTTGCATCAAGTGGATCGGTGTTTGCCGGCAGGTCTACGCCGACCACGGAAACGGCGATACCCTGAAACCTATAGCCATATGGTTCGTCGCAATCAATAAGATCGACTTACAACACGTCCGTTCGAGTTATAAGATGATCTTTTCGCGTATGCAACGGGGATTGATCGTGAATGGGAATGGGGAAACTGAAGCCTGCCGTGGTCGACGTTAACTTGCTACCGTGAGTCGAGAGTTTGCCAAGTTTCATAGCTCATAGATCCGTCATTCGTATTTCATCCCATGCTACGTCACGCCAGTTGCAAGTTATGCACTCTGCGATAAGTCATGGGATACCCGTATTTTATTTCTATTATTGCTACTTATCTATAGTACTATTATTATAGCCTATTACTATTTATTTGTATAATTTTTATTTTGTTTATTTATTAATCCTTTTGCCTGGGATATCGCGCGAGAGTCGTGATAAGGAAATCGGACGAAATATGACGTTGTGAGAGGCGTGGTTTGTAGATAGGGTCCAATGTAAACATTGACAGGCTTGGACAGGCTCGTGGCTAATTTTCGCAAATCTTTTCCTGTCTCCATCGGGTATAGTATCTTTTCTAGAAAAAGTATCATACTAAGCATCATGTCCAATCGCATTTGCATTTTTAAACTCGTCGCTGCTCTTTACAAACTCGTCAACACAGTATCGTTCACTTGGCATTTAACAATCGTAAATTTAGTATTAAATAGATCGTTTACCAAATTGTTTAGGTGTTAGTTTAATAGGATCTCGTATCATTTCCAGAAGAACCATCATACTAGCCTAATCGCATTTGAAATTTCACAGTCATCGCTACTCTTTGTCAATACTGTGTCATTCACTTGGCTTTTGATAATCGTAAATTTAGTATTAAATAGATCGTTTAGCAGATTGTTTAGGTGTTAGTCCAAGAGGGTTTCATATCTGGCCTAGAACAACCATGACACTAGCCTAATCGCATTTGAAATTTCAAATTCGTCGTTACTCTTTGTCAAAACTGTGTCATTCACTTGGCTTTTGACAATTGTAAGTTTAGTATTAAATGGATCGTTTACCAAATTGTTTAAATGTTGGTTTAATCGGGTTTCGTATCTTTTCTAGAAGAATCATCACGCTAACCTAATCGTATTTGCATTTTCGGACTCCTCACTGTGTATCATACACCGGTCATTTGACAATCGTAAATTTAGTATTAAATCGATTATTTAACAAATTGTTTAGGTGTTCATCCAATAGGGTCTCGTATCATTTCCAGAACAACCATCACACTAGCCTAATCGCATTTGCATTTTCAAACTCATCGCTACTCTTTGTCAATACTGTGTCATTCACTTGGCATTTGACAATTGTAAATTTAGTATTAAATAGGTTGTTTACCAAATTGTCCAGGTATTAGTTCATTAGATTTTCGTATCTTTTCGAGAAAAACCATCACACCGGCCTAATTGTATTTGCATTTTCAGAGTCGTCACTGGTATATCATTCATCGGTCATTTGACAATCGAAAATTTATTATTAAATACATCGTTTACCAAATTGCTTAGGTATTGGTCCAATAGGGTCTCGTATCATTTCCAGAAGAACCATCATACTAGCCTAATCATATTTGCATTTTCAAACTCGTCACTATTCTTTGTCACTACTGTGTCACTCATTTGTCATTTGACAATCGTAAATTTAATATTAAATACATCATTTCCCAAATCGTTTAGATGTTAGTCCAATAGAGTCTCGCATCTTTTCGAGAAAAACCATCGCACTAGCCTAATCATATTTGCATTTTCGAATTGGTCGCTACTCTTTGTCAAAACTGTGTCATTCACCAGTCATTTGACAATCGTAAATTTAATATTAAATAGATCATTTCCCAAATCGTTTAGGTGTTAGTCCAATAGAGTCTCGTATCTTTTCGAGAAAAACCATCGCACTAGTCTAATAGCATTTTCATTTTTGGACTGGTCCCTAGCTGGCACGTTCATTCGCGAAATATCTGGCATACGAGTAACGAATCCGCGCGCGAAAGCGACTCGGTTGAAATTAATTTGCGCGTTCTAATCGGGAGGGTAAGCGAGCGATTTCACGCTCATGCATATGGTAAAAAGGTGGGACAATGGCGTCCGCGGGATTAATTCAAACGACACGGGACGCGTCCCACCGATACGTCCCGTGGTCGTAGGATTTTCGCTTTGAGCTAGGTCGCGAGATGTGACACGCGTTAAAGGACGATCTCCGCGACTCGCATGCTAAACGTCCGCGAGTAATAAACATGAGTTATCGCTCGAACGATTGCGTGGGGCTGCATTCCGCGTGTTCGCGTACGGGCGAGCGTGGAATGTGCCCGCGAACACATGCGAGTGCGCCTTGTCCGCGATTAAAATGTGAAGGAAGAAGAAGGCACTCACCTTCGGGTCTCAGTCTGTCGGCGATAAGGCAGTATGGGGGTGGCGGCGACTCTGAAAAGAAAAAAAACGAAACAATAAGAACTAATTGATAAATAAAAAAGAAATAAAATAAAATTACTATCTTTCTCTACTTTTTTTTTTTTCTTCTTTTTTTTTACGGTAACGATTCTGAATAAGGAAACAACAAAACAATAAAAACTAACTGATAAATAATAAAAGAATAAAAAAAGTTACTGTCTTTGTTTATTTTTTTTTGTTGTCGACGACTCTGGAAAGAATAAAAAGGAAACAATAAGAATTAATGAATAATAAAAAAAATAATAAAAAATTAGTGTCCTTTTTTATTTTCTTTTTTTTTTGTTTTGCTATAAAAAGGAATATCGTGGATGTTTTTCAGTCTTCTTTTCTGGTTTGTTTTTCGAGTTAGTTCTTCGAGACACGCTATTTTAATAGTAGACAGACGTTTCTCGTATACCTATTTTCTGAATGTGAACGAAATTAGACATTTTCTTTAAGAAACAACTTAAAATGCAATGTAATTAAACAATGTTAACTTATAAATGACTCTGCGAGATTATATTTATTATTATTTATTATTATATTATTAGATTGATATTTATATCAAATTCATGATATTCGTAGGGATTATTTTTATTTAAACGTGAACGGTTTCTGTAATTTTTCTCGTGAAATTCGGAATACGTAAAATGATGGAAATAAAACCCAAGTTGCGGGGAACATAACGGAGTAGAATATACGTAATCTCACCACGCGATTAATGTTTTCAACGAAAGTCATTGAAGCGCGTGTTTTTGCCAAAACATTGTCATTCGTGGCATTGTCAACGGAATGAAACACTTGAAATAAAATATTGAACTGTGTAACTATTAATAACTTGGACTTTTCGAGGTGGATTAAAATATATCTCACCGTGGATAAAAATTGAAGCAAAAGGTGAGACCCTAATCAACCCTACCTAACCTAACCCTAAAGAATTAAAAATTAATATCGTGGAGGTTTCTCTCTGTGTCGAAGTTGCTGAATTATTGAATTATTCCCAGAAATATGATATTAAATTTACGTTACATTCGGGAATCCAATTACTTGGCTCTGAGAACACAACACGTTATTAAAATTTATTGCGACAGCGAACGCAAACTATTCCACGAATTATGTTTGGAACAATTAAACGAAAAATATAATTAATGACAATTAAATAACTATTTAAATAATTCAATCGCTTCAAATTATTTCACATTATTATCCTTAATTTGATACTTCCATTTACCGTCCTATCAGTTTACACGCGTACACCATTACCTTGCTCCATTATCGGAATCCTAACTACAATACCATTCGCAAAACAACGAATTAGAACGATCAAATCGAATTATTTCTACCTAATACAATTACTCCGTGTACCAAGTATAATTCATCCTTTAGGTCTCGCGGATCTCCATTCACTTATTCCTATCCATTAACTTCTATCCGATTTAAATCACCATCCACTTCAAACTAATTGCCCCTCCCAGAGCGAATCTCAACCTCAACCACGTGCAATTTCATCAAAAACCAATTTACGGTCTTCGCAAGTCCGTATGTATTTCAACTCCTTCTAAGCTAACGTAGAACGCTTTCCATTCCGCTACGAAATCGACCAAAAAGGAAAAGGAAAACGAAAACGAAGGTGCAGAAACGTGTAACGCGATCTTTACGAAACGGTACACGCGACCATTCACTCGTACATACATAAATAGACACATAGATACAGAAAATATGTAGGTATATAGATATATACGTATATACATGGATACATAGATAGATAGATAGATAGATCGATAAACAGATAGATAGATAGATAAATGGACTGATAGATAGATAGATATACAGATACACAGATACATAGATACACAGATACATAGATACATAGATAGATAGATACATAGATAGATATATTCATACAAATATTCATAGATACATAGATACACGCATTCATAGATACATAGATACACACATCGATAAACACTTAGATACACACTTTTATAGACTCATAGATACATAAATACACACATTCATAGACACATAGATACACAAATACACATTCATAGACACATAGATACACAGTGGCATGTTCACACAAGCATATAGGTACATACGTTCATAGATACATAGATATAGGCATTCCTAGAGGCATAGACACATAGGTACACAATACACGTGTTCACACAGGCACATAGGTACATACATTCATAGATACATAGATACAGATATTCCTAGAGACATAGACACATAGATACTCAATACACGTGTTCACACAGGCACATAGATACATACGTCCATAGATACATAGATAGAGACATTCCTAGACACATAGATACACGCGCTCATATACACACAGACGCATAGATACAGACGTTCATATATACACAGGAACATAGATACATACGTTCATAGATACACAGATACATAGATACAGACATTCCTAGAGACATAGATACATAGATACACGCTCTCACATACACTGCGATGCATAGATACACGCTCTCATATACACAGCGATGCATAGATACACGCGCTCGTGTATACACGAATGCATAGCCACACTCGTCCATATACACACAGGCACGCAGTACACGCGTTTATATATGCATAGACACAAAGGTACACGCGTTCGTGTATGCATAAATACAATGCTACTCGGGCATATAATCGACACAGACGCAGAGAGCCACGTAAATAGACACGTACACGGCGACGTGGATACGCGCATACCGGTTACCGGTTTGCGTTTACCCCGCAACGAGGGCCGACGCTTGACGGCGGCGGGAGGGGGACGCAGGGTCGTTAAAAGGAAACGAAGACATTCGTTAAAGGCGCCAGCGCGATCGGTCTATTTTCGTGGGAATCTCGTTACGCTCGCGTCCCGATTCCACTTTAATCCAAAACGGATGGCGGCGAGCGCGCCGCGGCGAGGAATTAGAAACCGACTCAAGGCCCCGCGTTTCGATTAAGCGGAATTAATCGCGTTCCGTCGAGCGCCGAGCGACGAAACAGGCCTGGCGCCCGTTACAAGCCACGCTCCAAAAGCGGACCATTCTATTATTAACGACCGCGCGAGAGCACGAACCGGTACGTCGTTTTTCGTCCTTTTACGTATCGGCCGCGAAAGCCGTAGAGGACGAACGGCCACCGCCGCGGGTTAAATCGCCGACGCCAAGGTAACCGAGCGGACGCCGTCGCCGCGACGCGGCGCCTAGCCGCCGGAGACGCCGCCGCACCGACGCGGGCACGCGAGCGAATCGCCGCGAAATCTGCACCGAGATTAGGCGCACCAAGGCCACGCCAGCGCTAACTGGGTTAACCCTTTGTTAACCGCTCCTCTCCGCTCCGCTTCGCTTCCCTTTCCGCCCGAGCGATGCATAGCGGCGATCTGTTCGTTCGAACTTTAATCTAGGAAGATAGAGGATCTCTCGATCGCGACGTCTAACGGTATTTTTCATAACAAATCACGTAATTTTCGGTATGCGTCCATTTTGGGACTGCTTGACCAATCTATAGTGGGTCCGACGATGCACCCAAGTGCGGTAAAAAAGATTTTTACATGGTATTTCGATCGCGACGTCTATCGGTGTTTTCGATAACAAATTATGTAATTTTCGGTATGCGTCCATTTTGGGACTGCTTGACCAGCCCACAGTGGGTCTGATCCACTTAAATGTGGTTAAAAACAATTTTACAGGGTTTTTTGATCGTGATATGTCGATATTTTCCGTAGATCAATTTTCCATATGCGTGTGTTGTGGGCCCATCTGACCGACTCACAGTGGGTCCCAGATGCAACCAAATGCAGTAAAAAAGAATTTTACAGGGTCTTTCGATCACAACATCTATCGGTATTTTCCATAACAAATTACGTAATGTTCCTTGTGTTCGTGTTGTGGGTCCGTCTGACCGGCCTACAGTGGGCCCCGATGCACCCAAATGCAATTAAGGAAAACTTTATAGGGTTTTTCAATTGCGACACGTTGATATTTTCCAGAATAGAATTTCCCATATGCGTGTGTTGTGGGCCCGTCTGATCGACCTACAGTGGACCCCGATGCATCCAAATTCGGTAAAAGAAAATATTACAGGGGCTTTTGATCGCGACATCTGTTGTCATTTTTCATAATTAATTATCGAATTTTTGCTATGTTACGTTATGGATCTGCTAACGAGCTTCCTCTTCCCTGACCGGCCCACAATGGGCCCGATGCACCCAAATGCGGCGTAAAAGAAATGTAAAGGCTGATATTACGTACAGCGGCTCACGAAAGTGTTCGATTACTATATATCGTAAGAATTATTTAACCAAAATTTCCGATATTTAGGGTGGACCCATGGTGTAGAACACTGAAAATGTGCATACTCTGGGAATTTATTTTGAAGCAAGTATTTACTTAATCATTCTGAATATTATGGGGTTTTATTAAGCAACTATAAAGGTATAAGAAAATAATTTTTTGCATTTTAAAAAATGTTGCAATTTAGAATTATAACAGCGTATTTGTAGCTACCCGATAACAAGATTTTAATTTAGGCCCGGGGTTGTAGTTTCTCTCTTGTTTGACGAAAACGGGAATACAAACAATTATTTTACTCTTTATGAACGTAGTTAGTCGATTAACCTTTAGAAGTATGATAAAGTTGAAAATTCTTGAAATGGGGCCACATTGAAGGGAAGATCGATGTTTTCGCCAAAATTTTAAGTCTATTTATGTTTAAATTATTTATTTTGTTATATTTATAGGTTCATCGACTAGAACATGCGTCATAGTATACGTATAACAAATTTCAAGTAAATTGGTAGAATTTAGTAGGAACAGAGTTTAGTAGAATTTTGATAAACTCCGTTACAATTATAACATTTATTTTTTAATCTCGTCACTGCCGGTCCGAATTATATTTTAAACTATATTTACATTATAAATTATATTATTAATCTATAATAATATTATAATTAATATAATTAGTATAATATTACAATTACACTAATAATATTATACAATATT